ACAGTCTCTGTCTCAAAGTGCCCCTTCTATTCTGCCCTTGAACATATGATAGCATAGAATGGCATACTGTTATAGCCATTGAATGTGATGTTGCAGAGTCATGAGAAAATGTCCACAATATATTATCAAAAAAAGAAAAAGGTATAACCTATCCTGTGTGATAAGATTCCAGTGTTATACCAATAATATGTATGATGTCACTTTTAAGCTAAATTAATAAAGAAATGGCTGTCATAATGTAGGCTGCAGGAATATCTGCACATACGCATTTTTTCCTGTATTATTTCAAAGGAATATCACATAAAATAGAAAATTCACAAATAAATGAATTTCAGTGACATGAAATTCTAAAATAGATATAAAAATACATAATGGGAATGTTGGGTAGTATTCATAACTGGAGTGGGATAATCAATTCTACGAACTCTTACCTGAAAATAGTTTCCAAGTATTACACAATTAAAAGATCCTACTGTTCTATTTTTGCTGACTGGTCTGTAATCGTAGTCTGAGCTGCTAATCCAGTGGTTCTCAGAGTGTGGTCCCTAGACCAGCAGCATAGGCCTCACCTGGGAACTTGTTAGAAATGCACATTGCCGGGCCCTGTTCCAGACCTACTGAATCAAAAACTCTAGGGTGGGGCCCAGGGACCTGTGCTTTAGCAAGCCCACCAGGTGATTTGGATGCATGCTAAAGTTTGAGGCCACTGATCTGCCCTATGGAAACCTTGACCTCTGATACACGTGGTTGAAGGCCACTAATTTAGCCTACCAAACAGGTTCAAATAAAATCCTTTGCCCACTCAGCTGTTCAGATACGCTGTCTCTAGGCAAAATCCACCCTACTTCGCAGTGGGGCTCTTCCACTCCAGTTCTGTCTTTATCCTGGTGCCAGAGCAGACTTGGGCCGCCCAGTCCTCGTCCCATTGACTCTGTCTCCCTCTTCTCTCTCCAGATGCTAAAATAGTGTTTACCTGCCTGGGCCTTTCACTACTTTTATAACTCTTGCCAACCTGTGTTGTGGTTACAGATAAGACTTTTAACAGGATTGAAAATTCTCTAGGATAAAGAGCAGAGTCTTAACTATACTTAATAGGTTCAGGCTGGGTTATATATTTGAAGGTCATTCAATTTCAAATATATACCAAACACTTAGCAGCCCCTTTCAACTGTTTCACACCTGCTTTCCATCTTTAAAAAACAAAAACCCTCAGCTGATGTAGAGGCAGGCCTTCCCACTTGAAGTTCCCTGTTGTTGGTTGCTGTCAAGTCACGGCTCCAACTCATGGCGACCTTATGTACAACAGAACAAAACGTTGTCCAGTCCTGCACCGTCTCCATGGCTTTGATATGTTCAAGCCCATTGTTGCAGCTGTTGTGTCACTTCATCTCATTGAGGGTTTTCCTCGTTTCGCGGACTCTCTACCAAACGTGATATCCTTTCCTAGCAATTGGTCTTTCCTGATGATACGTCCAAAGTAAACAAGATGAAGCCTTGCCATCCTTGGTTTCTAAGGAGCATTCTGGTTGTTTTCTTCTTAGACTGATTTGTTGCAGTTCACAGAGGTTGTTAAAGGAAGTCAGTGCTTGGTTGGTACCCATACCTTACCTTCAACGTGTCAGTCCAGCCAAGTAGCTATGCCTACTCAGCATCACTGCCTGGACATGGGTGCCAGGCCTAAGGCTGTTCAGGGAGAATGAATAATGAAGAAGATAAAGGAGGGCTGAGCAGAGACGAGAGAGAAGCCAGTGCAATACAGGCCAGTAAGAGGGTCTTGTCTTCTGCGGTGCTGCTGGGTGGGTCCAAACCTCTAACCTTTAGGTTAGCAGTCAAGCGCAAACCGTTTGTGCCCCCTAGGGACCTTGACCCTCTACTTTACCAACCGTCATGTGATGTCCATTTCTAGCGATTAGTATTTCCTGAGGACATGTCCAGAGTAAGCAAGTTGAAGTCTCACCATCTTCGCTTCTAAGGAGCATTCTGGTTGTATTTTTTCTAAGACTGATCTGTTTGGTTTTTTGGTGTTAACATATAACTCAGAATTGCCTCAAGTGCTACTTAGAACCTGACAGAGAAAGTCTAAGTAGCTGTCAGTCACGTTTTCTAAGTACAAGGTTATGCAGGCTGGGGTGTGAGAACCCCTGGAGGTTCTATTGTAAGTTCTGTTATTTTAAAATTTTGTATGTTCATTTTGAGGAGACCCAAAGTATATTACTATAAATATATTCTGGATCATTTCTGTGAACACCTTTTAACTGCATAGTGACTGCACTTACAGTCATGTTGACACTAGTGCTGGAGTTTTTTTTTTTTTTTTCATTTAAAGTTGGAGAAAAATTGTTTGGTATTCAGTATTCACTAGATAAAAAATTACTCATTTTGTCTGTACCTAACCGCTTGCTCTAAATTAATGTCGAATTTCAAACTCAGACATTTAAAGGGAAAAGAATCACCTAAAATTTAATTTGGAATGAAAATTAATGTGAACAGCAACATTCTTAGAATGCTGTTTTGCCTTTTAATTCCAAGAATGTTAGATTAAGTGATATCAGCTACATTTTGATTGTGAGTCTTTGTATTATTATATCTGGAAATGTGGCAAGAATTTAGTTGATTATTCATAAGTAAAAGTAGGC